GGTAGGGCTGCTTCTTGCCTCTGGTGGGTGGATTTTATCAGAATAGGTAGTGCTGATCTGTATCGCTCAGCCACACCAAGGTTATACAAAGAGCAGCAAAACCCCAGGAGCATAACAGCAGGTCTGCTTTTAACCTCAACTTTTATCTCTCACAGCCAGCTTCCTTCCCACACCACAAGCACCACGTGTTATTTTACACCGAGGCAACACTCAGCAACTGAGGTCTGTTTGTCCATGGAATGGAAAGGGAAAAGTCAGATGACAGGAACACCAGATGTGTGGGCAACATGAGGACTAACAATTATGGAGCAATGTGCCTACAAACCAGCACTTAACTGCTACGTGTGGCCTTCTCTGAGCTTTGGGATGGTGGGTTTGGGCTTTTCATCAGTCCTCTCTTTTTGTCTCATTTAGGTGATGAGAAGTGAATACGACTGAGAACTACTGAATGAAATGAAAGAATTCTGAAGAAATCAGGGTGTGTTAGCACCTGGTTCAGTCTGCCAGAGGGCACTCATAGCTAAAACCAGTGCCACCCTATGCCCCAGGAGGATATATTTGCAGTACCTGGAGAGTGGTAGCAGCTCTCTCACTAAAAGGTCACTCCCCACCTTATCTGAAATTTGCTTAACCCTGCAGATATGTAGGGAAACTGATTATACACTTTTACGCACTTCCTGAAAATCATCTCTATAAGGGGAAGAGTGGTGCTTACTGCAGTTCATGAAGAGTAAGGCCTTCTAAAGCCTGTGGCAGGAGATAAGTCCTTGATCCTTGATGTGCCTGGAAAATAAAGAGGAAACAAGGGAAGACCTAAAGCCCAAGGCCATACGTCTGCCTGAGTGAGAATGCATTGGTGTTTGCTTTGAATTACTTGTAGACATGGCAGATACTTACTTTTCAAGTGTTTCACACTCAGTGTGCTACAGAAATCAAAGCAGTGTTTCTCACTCTTCATCTCCCTGATCTGCAACATAAAATGATGAACTGTTTAAAAACATGATATGCAGTAGGCAAAAAACCAAAAACAAAAAACAAAACAAAAAAAAAGCCAACAATACTGAGACAGCTGCACAGACCAACAGCTGTGACACACACAGGAAATTTGGATGGAAAGAACCATTAGTGCATTGAGACCATCTCCTCTCTTGTTAGCCGGGCCAGCCCCCTTCTAGCAGACTTTGCAAAAGCAGCTAGTTCATGTCAGATATTATATAAGTGTCTCTCAGATTTTGTGCTTCTTTAGTAGACTCTCAAGGAAAAAGCCTTTTTAGAGATCAGTTTCTGCCTCGCCTTTTCTTGTGTCCCATGTGCAACAGACACAGGCCTATTATCTGTATTTAAGAAACTATTCAGACTACTATTTTGTGCTGTACTATCCAAATAATGATGTTCTTTTGTTGTTCTACAGCAGATTCAATTGCACGACAAAGCCCATAGTAGGATAGGTACATGATGACTGAGGACAGCTATTTTGCAACCAATCTGTTGAATGATTGACGTGTGTCTTGAATGTTAGAGAAAATAAATAGCTGGCAAGACTGTACGTGCCTTTTGGTCAAAGAACTCATCTCTCATTAAGCCTCAAATATTATAGATTTATTTTGCACGCCATATGCTTATCCTTTCAGCTCCTTAGGAACAGAGAGTATTACATAGATGATAAACACAAGCTCAAATTTTAGAGATTGCATGGCAAGACTGCACTGTGGTCATCCTGATTTCCCACTGATAAGCTGACCAATTTCAAATAATTTCCAGTGATAACATCCAAAATAAATGTTCCATGTGTAGTTGTAGTTGTAGTTGTGTAGTATATCTCATGGCCACGCAATGTCCAAAATTATTAATTTAATCTATCCAAAATTAAAAACATTTATGTTATTACAAACTATTAAAGATACTTGATGGAATGTGGGTTTCTTGGTTGTTTGTTTTTATAGGACTTCTTTTTTTTTTTTTTCAAAGAGCATTAGCTGGAAAACTCTTTTTGCACGGACAGAATAAAAGATCTGAAGTATTGTCTGGCTCTTAAGCACAGTCTGTCATCTTCCACATCTTGCCAAACGCAGAAAACCATGTGTTTTCTGTCAGAGTCCCACAGCAAACCATGTGGAAAACAAGAGGCTATAAATAACTCCTCAACATGAAAGGTGACTAATCTGCTGCTTCCAATAATATCACCCCCCAATCTCCAAAATCCCCAAATTTTCTTTACCTTTACCTATCTTTGTGCTGAAGCGACACTGTGGCACTCTTCTCTTTAGAGATCTCATGCTACTTTTTGCTCTTTCAATCCTCAAATACTAATCGAATTAATTAACATGTCTATTGTCTTTGTGGAAATGTAGATTTCATAAAAGAGAATGTAATGGTAAATGTTAGCTTTGGAGAGTGTGATCCAGTACTGGAGGTCTTCTTTGTAATCCAAGGTACTGGTTTAATTTACTAGTTCCTCAGCTGATTAACTGATTATTTGCATTCCCTATGCCTTTATTTCCCCTGTCAGACTGGGGTAGGGATGGGGAAATGCATATTCAATGCCTTGTTTGAAATAATATAATGCATCTAAAAAAGAGTAAAATGTTATCCGTTGATAAAAAATACGATATAAGCACTAAATGCTACCACCACAAAGCAAAGAGTCAGCTACAATTTGTGCTACAGAGCTTAAAATCCATACAGGCCTGGAAAAATAAGCAGGGAAGGATTTTCTCCAGCTGTCTCTCTGTCACTCAGCGTCTATCAGCTAGGGGACATGAATCACCCACTCCTTGAATCTGCTCAACGTTTAATGGAAATATGGTGCAAAACCACTGTTGTCTTTACTAAGCATATGCTAAAGATTTCAAAAGTGTGGTTTTAACTAAACTGGTAGTGATGAATAAGTATTTTAATTTTGTGCTGTATTTTAGTGTGCTATGAGCCAAATAATGACAGTCAAACTGAACAAGAGAGATGACTTCATTTGTTGTTCAAAAATAAATTTTTCACATTACCTAAGTCACATGATTAATGGAAGTCACTTGCTGTATTTTTAAAAGTTATCTTTTTCTCAACAGTAATTTTTTCAATAATTTCTATTCTTCCACTGTCACGTTTGATTTCAAGTTAGGTTAAAATCTCCCCTGGCATAGGCATCACTTCATCCTAAAGTTGTGCTCACCTACAGCCAAAATAACAATAGCAACAGTAACAATTTTGTAATGTGCTGAAACTCAATGTTGTGTCAAAAACAGCATTTCATAATTTTGGAGTCGTTTGTTATTTTGAATTTATTATGTATTTTGATAACCCCAGGGTGAGTCATAGTAGGGAAGGCTGTCAGTTGATGAAGAACTGAAATCTTTATGCTATTCCACATTTTCTTTTTGACTGTGGCTTTGTCTGTTTTGTTGGCAAGTTGTAAAATTAGAATTTAGAGAGAATAGCAGAACAGTATTCCACTGCAAGAAAGATGTTTTCATCTGTGATTTTTCCTAGATTTTTCTAACTGATGTCACGGTTTTAAATTGAATTTGTGTAAAAGATCTATAGGTGTTTTTCCTGATGAATTCATTTAAAAACTCAACATTGGGAAATCTTCCCTTCATATCTAGCAATTCTATAGGGAGTCTATGCATTAGTTTACAGTAGGGAAGTTATACCTCAATGGTCCATGAAAATAGGAGTCCATAAAGCACATATTTCCATATAAAAACATTAAATGTTTATGACTGATACAGAGAAAATGCTGATAATACTGAAGCTTTTGGCTAGCTTAATTTCTTCCTTTTCTTGTGTTTTTTCAGGCCTCTCAGACTTCCTCCCTGACATAGCTTATCCTCGCTGTGTTATCTGAAATCCAGGAGTCCTCTGTATTCACAATATTTCATTCCTCTGCAGTTCCTTGTCTCTGGCCATCAGTGTCTCCCTGTCTCTAAGCTTGCCCCCTCCCCCGCCTCTTTTTCTTCTCACCTGTGTTCTCCTGTTTTTCCGTGTTGTCAAATGCTTTCCAAACCCTAGCCCATGCCTCCTTTTCCATGTACCCGCTCAAAATTGGTTTGTGGGGAGTCCGGTTACAGCACTGGAAAGCCAAAGCATAGTTCAGCTCCATATACAGGCTTGGGAATAAAGCCTGTTGTAACCAAGCACCCTAACAAAACATTTTTGCAGTGCAAATAAGTCCTCTGTGTGGGAGGCCAACTTTTTAAATGCGCAGTGTATCATTTTAAAATTCCCTTGGGGCTCTAACCTTGTAGACAGATGTCTTAGACACTGGTAATGTGTCTAAGTGACTTTTCACGGTGATCTGTCGAGACAGCATCTGCTCAGCTGTCTTTTAGCAGAGTACAGGACAGCATCAAATCTGTATTTGATGTATTTCATCCTAGCCTGAATGTGGAGAACTCAGCCTGCTTCACCTGAAGCACCTCTAAAGGAAGAGCTAGGACAAAAAGAAGTGACTTCATTTTGACCCAAGCAGGTAACAGTGAAAGGGAGTGGCCTTGTTTCTTCAGCATGAATAACATTTTTGTGACTTCCATATCACAATTCAGCAGCTCTGATGTCAAATTACAGTAACAAAAGAAATGAGAGATGCTATGTGTGGGAAGAAGTGTTGACAAAAGCATCCTGTACAACTTCCTCTGGGCTCCTCAGCTGTGTTATCAGAGGTGGGCAGCTGTGTAGAACAAGCCCAGCTTTAGGGGAGCAAAGCCCAAGATTGCTGAGAACCGGCCTGTGGCAATGGCAAGAAATTGATTGATAAGCTTTCAAACTCAAGATCTATGATCCTTGCTGGGCTGCTGACTCTGCCAGCCATCAGATTAATTTGCTTAGTCTAAGTAAAAGCCTGGGCTGGAAAAACTGCACTGTGCACTGTTTAGAGCATCCCCCATTTCTGATGGTGCAAAATGTGTTAAGCTTAAAAATACAAGATAGAACTAAAAATGTAAAGTTCATTAAAGCATTTTTAGATCCTTATAATATTAACTTGGGTTTCTTGCTTTGTATTCCAGCTTTTCAATTACATCACTTCCGTGTTTTCAGATTCTTCAAGCTGCCCTACCATGATGATAGAAAGCTTCTGAAGGAAAAAGATACTGAAATTCCACAGGAATTCATTATGCCAGAAGGTATGGCTTCTCAGAACACAGAACAAAAGATAAAGTATGAAGTGCTTAGCATGAAGTTCTGGAGGAAATAAAAAGGTCTAGCAGGACTGTATCTCACAATTTTTCTCAGCTATATTTTCTCTATCACTGTGATACTATCCATAATAACATCAGCTCTACAGATCTCATCTTTGAGATGTGATGCCTGACTCCCTATTGTTTCCTCCTAAGACTTAGTTTGACTCCATCCCTACAAAGCCTTTTTGCCTCTATGCTGCTTGGTTCTTTCTTCTAATCATTTGTCATGAGGTCTCTGCTAAATGTACTTCTGTGTGCAACTCATCACTGACCCATAGCCACAGGAAAACATTTCTCTGCACTGGATCGCTGATATGATGAGTATTGCATGTAAATCGCTCTGTTTGATAAAAACTTTAAGCTTCTCAGATGACTGTGAAATAGTGAATGCCAGCTGAGCTACAGTGTAATTGTCAGTGTATGTAATTCAGTGCAATGTTTCCCTCCTCCGTAATAATGTCTGCCAGTGGCACTCCCACTATTGTTCTAGTCCTGGCTCCTTTGCCAGCTAGAGGAGGGAAAAAAGGGCTTCCCCCACCTACTTTTAAGTACCTCAGATGACCTTTGATATCAGTGGCACCTGTTTTAATGCCAGCTTCATACAGCCTCTGTCACTGTAGATAAACAAAAATGGAAAAACCCTCATCTTAAAGTATTCTTTCACCTTAGAGAATCTGTAATGCAGCATGTCAAATTCAAACATAGCAGGAGATGTTCTCCTTGGTCTTGTTAGAGAATTGTTTGTACCTGCCTACTGTGAAGTTTTGTATTCTATCCAAAGGGAGACTGCATGACTTCACCAAGAATCTGGAATAAGACTGACTTCAAAACTACACAGTTGTGGTCCTTATCAAAAGAGTGGAAAAGAATGCTTGGATCTAGAATTTGAGCAATAATGGATCCTCCTGTATTTAAGAAGATAGACAATTTAATTCCAGCTCTTCTGGCTTTGTAGCGTGTAGGGTGTTGTCCAGAATCACACCGTTACTGCTTTGGGGATCTCTCTGCACTCCATGCACCCTTTCATTATGCGGCCTTGAAATTTAACACCTTTTCCATGCCACATCTTAGAATGTAAACACAAATCTTACAGCCCTGACAAGCGATTGCTGGGCCACTTAAAGGATATGTACCACTGTGTAGTTTGGAGCTGACAGCACAGGTCTCACTACTGCAGTAGCTGAGAGTGTGAATCTTGGCACTAGAATTCAGAATATGAATCTCACTGTGGAAGGATGCAGACCTCACACTATGAGGAGAAAAAAAGCGTGAGTCTTGGTATTTATGTCTGCAACACTAATACTGAAACATCCACATTGAGCTACAGTCTCTTGAGCTGTATCCTGTATACATGAAGAATGTGTTAGATTGAAAAAATCATGGTACAGTGATTTTCATTTCTGAACACTGAAGGACATCAGAAAAATATCCTTCATTTTTAGAACACAGCAGTAATTACTTTTAGATATAACATAAAGAGTGTGTATCACACACATACTGATACACTAGACTGTGGCCTCATTATTTAAGTCTGAAGCCTTAGCAAGGAACAAACCCATGCCGGTCTTCTACTTAAGTCTACCTTCTGCTAGATCTTCTAGAGCTTTGTTCGTTGCCATATACACAGTTTCCCTTCCTTTTCTTGCTTACATTCGTTAAGACTACGTAGGGTACCTTTTCAGGAGGACTGTCAATGAACTTGTGTAAATTCTTTTTATCTGCTTCATTTAAGTAATCAGGCTCTGGCTATGTCTTTCCTAGACCAGGCCCATTTTTCTCCTTTCTCCAGCACTACACTGAAACCTGCCCAGATTAACCAGCACTCCTGTGGTATTCCCTTTATTTCTTGCAAGCGTTAATAAGCTGCAGTGAGTCAGAGTGAACTCCCAGCTGGACGTTTTGAGTCTGTGCATGGGAATGAGCATAAAGGAGACACAGGGGCTAGCAGACAAATTTGTGGTGCACACAGAGTTAACATGCTGACAGAAACACTGAGGTTTACATCTGAAAAACCAAATGTAAAAATAATATGATGAGTAAGACTAAAATTCCCTGTTCTGAGCTTCCATGGGGCCAACTCCCCTCCCCCACCATTCAGGCATCAGCAGTCACTTCTCCTTTTTGCTGTGCCTTGCAGAAATGTGTCCTGGGATGAGTCAGAGCAGGACTTCCAGGCAGTAGCATTACTGCATTTGGCTCCCAGCAAAAATGCCTTCAGCCAGGGCCTTCCACATATTCAGAGGGATCTCCTTCTGATTTGCCTGTTTCTGCCTGATACTCTTTTTTTCTGAACCAGGGGACTGTTGAAGATATGAGTTTGGAAGGGGTCTCCGGAGGTCACTTAGTGCATTGTCCTGCTCCGATCAGAGCTTCACAAGTAGATCAGGTCGCTCAAGGTCATATCTTCAGGAGACACCACAGCAACCCTTTCCAGGTCCATCTCTTCCAGGGCCTGACCATCCTATTGGGAAGGACCTTTAAAATCCTTTCTGCCCTATTCACATTCATAATCTCTCCAAGTTTTTCTGCTTGTCCATGTCCCATTTGTCATTGTTTAGCATCTACTCTTATGCTCCTATCAGGTATTTTATGTGCTCTCTCCACACACTTTTGCTGGGCTGTGGTACCTTCCTTGCAGTTAGGACACACCATTCATGTTCCACCCTTTTTCAAAGAGAACAATGAGAAAAAAAATGTTTAAAAATGTCCTGGGAACAGAGTGTAGAGAGCACACTTAGGTGTAAGGAACCATGAGTTTAGTAAGCCACTCCAATCCCTTTGTCAGCAAGTTCTGTGATGAAAAATCAGCTGCGCAAAATGTCTTCCAAGGAGAGGCCATCTCCTGTGCTGGCTGGGGAGCCAGACTGCCTTTGAGCTCTCCTTAACTGAGAGCTTGCAAGGTGTTCATGAGACACCAGGGCCTTGTTCCCTCTGAGGTCTGTTCCTGACATTCTCCCACAGCCTCAGAGTTTTGGAGGTGGGGAGGGGGGAGGCTGACACCTTCCCCGGGCTTGATCTGCTTGAGGATGGGGCTTACACAACTGCCCTCTGTCGTGTGAGGCAACCACGGTACAGCCATATCAGCCTCACTCCTGCACCCAGGCAGGTGCACGAAGTCCTGGCGACGGCATGCCCTGAGCAGTGAACTGCAATGGCAGCGCCGGGTTGTTACCAGGCATCGCGGTGGGACGCCGTGTCACTCCCTGCTGCATTTGGAGATTTTATGAAGGCCACTCGTGCGTTATTATCCTTGGGTGTAATTGCTTATGCTCAGTATCTCTGTAATAGATCAGATGCTGTTCATCTTCTCTGCCCTGATGATGGTGAAATCCTGATTTCACCGCTGAAAGGCGTTTCGTTTCAAACCCTGAAAGTAAAACGGGGAGTTGGTGCGGGGCCGGCAGCCTCATTCTGAAGGCGGGTGGCACCTCCCTGCGGTGTCTCTGCAGAATTACAGCTTTCACAAGATCGCCACTTTCCCCAATACGGTATCAAGCTGCTCCCGAGTAATTTCGAGCTGCTAGACTCCAGAAGTCTCAAGAACCAAGCAGACGTGCGAGAGTAACCGATTCTGCATTTCTCATTTCATATTTATTCCATCAGTCTTTCACCCTGAGTGTTCCAGACTTTTTTTTCTCTCTTTGATTAGTGACCCAGCTAATTAGATATGTTTTTGATTGAATTAAACTCATTATTGACCTGACACGCATTACTAATTCTAATATTTAGCTTTGATTGTGCAATAAGACATCAAGTAGTTGTGTTTTTCATTAGACTTTGATAATCACAATGTTTGCAGCAATTTTTCAGTAAATAATTTTTCATTATAAAATACACTTGCCCAATGTACAGGACTAGCTCTACTGACATCTCATGGCTTTTGTGATGCACACTATGCTAGCCTTTGGAGATTTTGCACGAGGTGCCTCTGCCTTCACTTCATGCCAGTGAGCTGCAGGGAGCTTCACAGCTTTTTTTTTCTGGATAGTTGTTTTCATTCCACCAATACAGTGCCCCATTCCTGCAAAAAGCCACAAGCAGCCATAGACTTAAGCACAAGTAAGTGCTGGGGACCCCCAGGTATAAATGTCAGAGAGGCAAGAACAGGTTACAGGTCAGAAAGGAGGAGAACTGGGTGCATGCTGGCTTGTTCTGTAGTCTGCCATTATAAATGACATGTGTTTTTTCCTTCTCAGATGGGAACACCGATCAATTAGGAATACAGAAACCTAAAGTCACTTTTGGAGGAAGGAGGATGAAAGAGGTTCTGTGGCACGGGGAAGGTGAGAGGAGGTCCCTGTGCTTGGCTCCTGCTGCCTCATCGCTGTTGTAACAAAATCCCAGCTCTTGGCCCCAGCCCACAGGACTTTGGCTGAGCCACACTGCTCTCTGCCTGCTCCCAAAACGTCACTGCAGTTGAGAATTCAGCCACCAGCTGTGGAAAAGCTTCATTCGATGCACAGTATGGTAGCTGCTGCCGCTTAGTGGCATGAGCTACTGAGTGCACATTTCATCCACTGTGCTCCCCGTGTTGGCTTACGGCAGGATACGAACTGAAACCGAAATCCTGCGTTCCCGAAGTCAAAGCAAACCCATTTGCTTCACTGAATCCAGAATAGCATTCACAATGGATCCCAATAGCCCCAAATTCTCAATGTGGCTCAGTTCACCTAGGAAAGCAATGGTGACCATCACAGATATGATCCAGCAGCACAAGAAGCTGTGTTTTGGGAGGCAGTTGTTGAGGCAATGGGAAGCGTCTGTGAAACACAGGAACCACAACTGCAGAACCAAATGCCAACTCTTTTTCCAATGAAAATTTGCTTTCAGAGTTCAGTGCCCACTATAAACATTCTGCTTGCAAGTGAAAAAGATAAAACTTCTCAAGCTGCCTTTTCAACACATCTGTATATAGCTGTGTTCCCCATGCATGACTGCAGAGAGCAGCTCAATTGGCACAGGCTGCTGATGGCTGCCTTCATTCCCAAGTGCTGTTCTACAGCATGATATTGGGGTGATGTAATGGACTCGGGCGGGACTGCAGACAGGAGCAGCAGCATCCACAGTCATCCAGTGTCTCTGTGAGGAATGGGATTTGCTCTGGAATACAGTGAGAATACAGCATCTCAGGGAAAATGGTAAGGGATGGAACAGAAAGGTATGTTAGTGTATTTTGGATAGCGTATTGGAAACCATAGCTCCAAGCTAGCTCAGTCTTGTAGAAAAGTAAATCTTTGTTCTCTGCTGACCTAGTTTCTGGAGCACTTGCAGCTTCTGCAGGTCAGTGTAATAAACACAGATATTCTTTGTCATTAATAGTAGGCAGCTGTGTGTGCTTGCAGAGCCCTGGTGTTACCGGGCCACAGAAAGGCTGTCAGGCAGTCACCTGCTTAGAAACCTGCTAAGAGTCAGGAATGTTGTATTTGTTAGAAGCTTTTAGTGAGTAAGTCCTAGAGGGGCTGCCATACTTTTCTCCACTGTGGTGTTATCCAGAAGCTCTGCCCAAACCCAAGTTCCCACCGTGCTCATTGTTAAACATCTGCAGCCCAAAGAATTTATAATCCGTTTAAACAAATCAAATCCCTACGGGCACATTCCCAAACGCCAGCTCTCCCGCACCACGCGGTTCTTTTCCGACCAGCTGGCAGCACGCCGGTGCCATTCCTTCCTTGCGTTTTCCCCTATAAAAGTAAAAACCCCCGCAGCTCCGCTATCCCCACGAGACGGTGCTGCGAGGGTCCCTCGGCAGGGCCTTTACACCGGGTCCGGCAGGGAGCCGCAGCCCCCTCCCGCCCCGCCGGGCCGCCCCGGTGCCGGCACGCAGGCGGCAGGAAACGCTCCCGACGCCGCCCCCCTCGGTGGTGGCCGGAAGCGCGCGGCGTGTCCCCGCCGGGGCGGCGGCGCTGGTGCCGAGGAGGCCGGGACCGACGTGGCCGGCCGGGGGAGGCGGGGCCGAGGGGCCGCCGGGCGGGGCAGGCCCGCGCCGAGCGGCGGCTGGATGGCAGCGTCCGCACGGGGCACGGCGGCGCTCGGTAACCGCGGGCGCGGGGTGGACGGCGGGAGGGGGAGTGTAGTTACGGGCGGCGGTGGGATGGGATGAGCGGGGGCGGCGGCGCCGTGTTTGGTACCGGCGGGGCCCGACCGCTGGGCACGGGTAGCGCCCGGCCGGGCCCGGGTTCCGCGCCGCCGTCAGCTCCGGTCCGGTCCCGGTATCGCTCCGGTTCGACTCGGCTTTGTCACGTGTGTGACCGCCGCGGTGCCCTGAGCCGGGAGTCCAGCCGCCGGCGGGATGAGGCGGACAAAGTTTGGGAAGGAACTCCGGTCGCGAGTCTGCGCTGCGGCGCGCTCGGCTCCGCGGGGAGCGCCGCTCGGGGCGGCCGGGGGCTTTGCGCGGCCCTGGGGAGCCCGAGGGGCCCGGCCGATGAGTACCCGGAGACGGCTGGCTGCCCCCCCGCAGCTCTGTCTCGTTCTGCGTTTGTCAGCATTCCTCTGATGGAAAAACAGAGCCCGCCCCCCCGGGAGCCGGCGCGATGTAGATGGGAACGACGGCGAGAGTGGGGCCGGCTCACCGCCCGGCGGGGAGCGGGCGGGGGGCAGAGCCCCTGTCCCAACCTGAGCGGTGAGCGGGGCCGCGCCTCCGCCTGCGCCTCCTTACGGGCCGGTAGCGGTAAGGTGGAGAAGGAGCGTTCAATCGTGATTTAATACGGACGACGTGTTTGCTAGGTGTCACATCCCGTGCTGCGGTACGCCATCGTTTCGAGGCCTGTGCACCTCCAGATTTTAGCTGCACGTGCTCTGATGTGTCTCTGATTTGCAGAAGTAAGTCTCTGTACCCTTTTGGAGGGGCACAAGCCTGTCAGAGCAGGGCTCGCTGTGGGCTGCCAGTGACTGGGAGGGAAGGGAGTGCTCTGGACAGCAGGGTCAGGGCTTCCAGCAGTTCAGAGTTCTCCACGGGACTGATGCAGGGAGGTGCTGTGTGGAGATTTTTGTTGGTTGGCTTGGTTGTTGGTTTTTTTTTTTTTTTTTTGGCAAAAAGTTATGCTCCCTCCCTGGAAAATAACTTTTTTTTTTTTTTTTTTCCGTGCAATACTCTTTTGCAACTCTAAGACTAGCCAACCGGCTTCCAGGGAGAACAGTTATTTATAAGAGTTGTTATAAAGAGCTTTTTCTCCTGCCGACATCTGAAATGTCATTGTGTCGCAGTGAGCAGTTGTGCTGAGACAGAACTGCATCTGTGTGGTCCGAAAAGGCAGTGTCCATGAGAGGTTGTGGCAGCTGGACTCTTTGCTTGCTGTTTGGTCTCCCTTCCACCCACTCAGGTGTGTATAAACAGCAGATTCCTGTGAATTTGTTCTTCCAGAGAAGGGAGGACCTCACTGGTACTGCAGCTCTGAATCATGGTCAGAGTGCACGGTCAGCTCGCAGACCGGCTCAGGACACAAGGTGCTGTTGCTGGTAGTGGTGAACAGGTTCTGATCTCAGCATGGGTGGGAGAGGGGATCCTGATGGGGCTCTGGCAAAACTGATGAGCAAATGTTACCTGTTCTTGTCTTACGCATCTTTTTTTAATGACCCATTTACCCTCCATGAGAAAAAGCACATCTAATATTATGTTGGTTTATCTCTCTGCCTCATAGTGGCTGCTGATCTCTGAGAACCCAAAACTGCTTTCTCTAGAAATTTCTCTAGGCTTCCCTAGCTGGGTTCCTGAAACAGATGCTGATGCCTTAAATTAGGGGTAGGTAAAGACCTTGTCCATCTTCTGCAGCTATAGTGGCAGGGTATTATTTTCTCCTTAAGCTTTTTTTGTCTTAGAACTGCGTCTTGATTGCTCCCTTCCTTCCCCTTAAATACATCTCAAGAACAGACAGTTTGAATTCAGAGACTTTAGAAACAATAAGTAAACTTAATGTCTCCTGAGGAGTGTGCAGCAATGAGGCTGAAAAGCAAAGGGGTTAAGGGGTAAAACCTGCCTTTTGTAGGGCAGGCAGTTATGATGTGTCAGGAAGAAACGAATGCTGGAAATGTGCTCTGAATAATTAGCCAAGTGCAAAGATCAGTGCAGGGCGATGCGCTGTTCTCATAGATGCTTTGTGAACAGGAATTTATTGCCTGAGATATGAGGTGGTGCTGAGCCACAGGGTGATGCTGGTCAGCTGGTGCAGGTGTGGAGAAATGTACTGTTTTTCCCTGTTGTGAATAACAAGGGGAAAAAGACCTGTGGGTCACAGGAGGTCAGCTGACAGAAAGATGAGACAGGGCAGTTGGTTTTCAGTCACTTATGACCTGTGGTTGTCCACCATCATCTCTCTCTGGAGATCCTCTATGTCCTTTATGAAAAAGATGAACCCGTATTTGCAGCTTGTTTTCAGAGGCCTGGATGTGCCATTTGTCATATGTTGTTGCCTCAAGCTGAGATCTATCCGTCTCAGAGACCCTCCCAAGTGTTCCTTGGGGCAGATATGGGCTCTGAGCAGGAAGGACTAAATGGAAGAAGTGGACCTGTTACATCAGTTGTTTTTTCTTTTCCAGATTGATTTCAAAAAGCTGCTAACTTTTTGGCAGCCATATCACAGAAGAGGCTGGTTTGTGGTGCTTTCTGTCATTGCTGAGCTGCAGAGCAGTTGTGCTGTGTGTATTCTTTGCATCTTCACATACGTATGGTGGTAGTACAAGTCCTGACGTGTTGCATTGGCTTTCTCCTTGCAGGGGAGCTGTTCTCAGTCATTTTCAAGGTCTAATCCTGTCATGAACACAGTCTGGGGTTGAAAGGGATGCCTGTCATTTTTAAAGCAGGAGATTATCTAAATGCAGGTTATTAAGCAGGTAGCTGGTAAGTGAAGAGAAGGCTGAGCCTGGTGTGATCTGCCTGTTGAATCCCTGCAACTCCCTGGGCAGATGCCTCTGACTGGGTGGCTTTGGTCTGTGTGATGTTTGGGACAGGAAAAAGACTTTGGTTATGGGATGGCTGATGTTTGCAGCGCATCTTATCTTGTTCTTTTGTTTTCCAAAGGGAAACTGGGGGGATTCAGTACTTTGTTTTAGTGTAGCTTTAAGGGTTTGAGTGCGTAGCTGTGCAGGGGACCTGAATCTTGGGGAGAGAAACTGAAGGAGCTGGCAGCATCCCCTGGGATGGAATATACCTGTATGTTCCAATGACAAGGGGTTTGCACAGCAGAGCTGGGCAGAGGGCAGCATCTCTGGCATCGTTACTCTCAGTGCCACCATCAGCCCAGTCCTGGCTCACTGCACTGGTGGACATGAGTTGGTACATGGGGAGCTGTGAGATGAAAATGCCCCTTGCTTCTGTCATTCACCATTCTCAATTCTAAAAGACTTGGACCTGAAGATCTTCAGCCTTTGGTAGGGACCTGCCAGTAGAAGAAGGATCTTAGGTGTAGAGGTGGGAGGAACGGACTTCAAGATCAGATCTGGTCTGTGCAATAAAAGAATCTGAATCGAGTGCTTACTCCTTTCCCCCTTCCCCCCCCCCCCCAAAAAAAAAAAAAGGAAAAAAAGTCCAGTATAAGAGATTCTGCATAACCTGTTTCAGTATATCACAATTTTGGCACTATTTAAATTTGTTTCTTCATGTCCAAGCCACACAGTTCCACCATGTGGAAGAGCTGAGCACTTTCCTCTTTCCTTGTGACTTTTGATATAAGCAGACTGCTCTGTTCCTTCCAGTGTTATCTTTTCAAGACTAAACGTGCCTGGCTTCTTTGGTCTTCTTGTCCAGATCATGCTTTCTAAACTCCAGTTTTTGTTTCTATCCTTCGGAATGTCTCTGATTTTTTTTACATCTGCTTTATGAAGCACAGTATGTGGGTAGGTGCAGTCTTTTGGCTAACGTGTCCCTTGTCGGGAGAAAAATAAAATCACTGCCTCTGTGTCACACAAACAACATAGCTATTAATGTGTTCCAGGATGTCATTTGCCTGCTTTGTAGCAGGCTTATCTTGCTGGCTCGGAATTAATTTCTGAATCAGTGTAATCCATGTATGCCTCTTATTTTATTTTTTCTTTGGCGTGTTGGAGTTAATCTCTTGTCATGCCCATTTGATTTATTTGTCTACCATTTTGTACTCATCTTTGCTGAGATTGGTTTAGCAGTATGTAATAGGTAGGTCAGTATCCTCCTTCACAGAGCTGCAGGACCCTGTCCCTTTAATGTTCATTTCCATTGCTCGCTGCAGCTGGGCCTTCCTCCAGCAGTGATCTAGTTCAGGGACCAAAACTGGACAAACCTCTTGGGTTTAAAAAAAAAATAAATATATATATATATAATATATATATAATATAAAATATATATATATAATATATATTATATTTATATAATATATAATATTATATGTATTATATATTTTATATATATATATTCATTTGTTTTGAACCCGCTCACTTATGGTGTCAGGTGTGAACATGGGCAGGGGATACTGACTGAGGGGATGTGGGATGAGGGGCAGCTCTGCGGTGGTGTGAGCCCTGAGATTTGTTTTTGACATCTTGATTTTTGTCTTGATTATTTCAGACCCCTTTCTGTTTGGCTGTTATTTAATGCCTTGCTATCTTTATTCCTTTCTTATCTTGCAGGTAACTACAAACTGATCACTTAACTTGATCAAGGATCTTTCAGAGGACTGAAGTTACTGGTCTGTAACTTCTTAAGTCTCTCCTCCATCTCTCTTTATTTCTTCTTCTTATAAAGGTAGATGAGGCATGATGCTTCTCCAGCCTTCTGTGGCCTTTGCATATTCCTGTAAATTTTCAAAG